ATTCCACATAGAAGTGAGATCATACAATATTTGTCTCTCTGACATTTCACTTAGCCTAATGCCATCAAGGTCTATCCATATTGTCCCAAATGGCAGGATTTCCCTCCTTTTATGGCTGAATAATATTTCATTGTGCATATAGATACCACATTTTCCTTATCCATTCATCCCTCAGTGGACACTTACATGGTTTCTGTGTCTTGATTATTATACCTAATGCTGCAATGAACATGGTAGTACATATATCTTTTCAAGATAGTGATTTGATTTTAATTTTTTTAGATATAAAACCAGAAATGGAATTGCTGGATCATATGATAGTTCTGTTTTTTATTTTATTTTATTCTTGATTTTAGAGAGGGAGGAAGGCGGAGAGAGAGAAAGAGAGGTGAGAGACAATGATCGGTTGCCTCCAGCATCTACCCTGACCAGGGATCAAACCTCAATTCAGATATGTGCCCTGAGCTGGAATTGAACCTGCAACCTTTCAGTGCACAGGACAATGCTCCAACCGAGCCACACCAGCCAGGGCGATAGTTCTATTTTTAAATTTTTTTTTAGTAATCTCCATACTGTATCAGGTTACATTCTCACTAAGAGTACACAAGGGCCCTAACCAGTTTGGCTCAGTGGATAAAGCGTCGGCCTGCAGACTAAAGGGTCCTAGGTTCGATTCCAGTCAAGGGCATGTATCTTGGTAGCGGGCACATCCCCAGTGGGGAGTGTGCAGGAGGCAGCTAAATCGATGTTTTTCTCTCTTCAATGTTTCTAACTCTCTATCCCTCTCCCTTCCTCTCTGTAAAAATCAATAAAATATATATATTTTTTAAACAGATAACACTTTAAAAAAAAAAAAAAGAGTACGCAAGGGTTCGCTACATCCTTGCCAACACTTGTTATTTCTTGTCTTTTTTAAAAAATATATTTTTGCCCTGACCGGTTTGGCTCAGTGGACAGAGCGTCGGCCTGCGGACTGAAGGGTCCCAAGTTCGATTCCGGTCAAGGGCATGTACCCTGGTTTCGGGCACATCCCCAGTGGGGGGTGTGCAGGAGGCAGCTGATCGATGTTTCTCTCTCATCGATGTTTCTAGCTCTCTCTCCCGCTCCCTTCCTCTCTGTGAAAAATCAATAAAATATATTTAAAAATATATATATATTTTTTTTATTGATTTCAGAGAGGAAGGGAGAGGGAGAGAGAGCTAGAAACATCAATGATGAGAGAGAATCATTAATTGGCTGCCTCCTGCATGCCCTTTATTGGGGATCAAGCCCGCAACCTGGGCATGTGCCCTTGATTGGAATCGAACCTAGGACCCTTCAGTCCGTAGGCCAACACCAAACCAGCGAGGACTCTTGTCTTTTTTTGTAATAGCCATTCTGACAGGCTATTATAAAAGACTATCACAATGAGGTGATACTTCATTGTGATTTTTCCCCGAGGATTAGTGATGTTGAGCACCTTTTCATGTATCTGTTGACCGTTTGTATGTCTTCTTTGGAAAAATGTCTATTTTGTTTCTCTACTCATTTTCTAATCAGATTGGTATTTTTACTATTGAGTCATATGAGTTGTTTTTATTGATTTTTTTAGAGAGAGGCATGGAGAGGAAGAGAGAGAAACATCGATGGGTTGCCTCCTGTACGCACACCAATTGGGGACCGAACCTGCAACCTGATGTGCCCTGACCAGAATCAAACTGGCAACCTTTTGGTGCATGAGATGACATTCAACCAACTGAGCCACACTGGCCAGGGCAAGTCATATGAGTTCTTTGTAATTTTGGATATTAACCTCTTATCAGATATATCATTTGCAAATATTTTCTCCCATTCCATGGATTGATTTTTCACTTTGCATATGGTTTTCTTTACTGTGCAGAAGCTTTTTAGTTTGATGTAGTCCTACATGTTTATTTTTTCTTTTGTTGCCTTTATTTTTGGTGTCAGATCCAAAAAAATTATTGCCAATTCCAACATAAAGGAGCTTATACCTTTTTTTGTTCTAGGAGTTTTATGGTCTCAGTTCTTACATTTAAGTCTTTCATTAATTTTCTTAATATGTTTTTATTGATTTTTAGGGAGAGAGGAAGGGAGAAGGATAGAGAGATACAAACATTGATCAGAAACATCATCATTCGGCTGCCTCCTGCATGCCCCCTACTGGGGAGCGAGCTCACAGCCCAGGCATGTGCCCTGACCAGGAATTGAACCGCTCAGCTTCTGAGCCGCACCAGCTAGGCTCTAATTAATTTTGCATTGATTTTTGCGTCTAGTGTAAGATAGGGGTCCAGTTTCACTCTTCTGCATGTCAGTGTTTGGTTTTGCCAATACCATTTATTGAAGAAATTATCCTTCCTCTTTTGTCATAAGTTAATTGACCATGTATGTGTGGGTTTATCTCTGAGCTCTTTATTCTGTTCCATTGATTTATATGTCTGTTTGTATGCTAATACCATACTGTTTCAATTAATATAGTTTAAAATCAAGAAGTGTGACGCTTCCAGCTTTGTTTTCCTTTCTTGAAATTTGTTTGGTCCTCTTCTGGGGACAGCGACTTCAGGTACTCACAGTGGTCCATCACTTAACATACCATTAAAGGCTTATCTAAAATACAGCCTCTAACAAAACTAGGCTGTCCCTTGGGGGGCAGACTGGAAGAGGACAATGGGGAAAAAAGGGAGACATATGTAATATTTTCAACAATAAAGATTAAAAAAAAATACACTGTCCCAAACCCCTGGTAATAGAATTGTTTACCTTTTAACCAAAAAAGTTTGGAAAGCACCAAAATCTGCATGTGGCATGTGCCCAGGCTCACTCCATGGAGTTCGTGCTATGAGACCTAAAGTTCTAATGAGGTTGTCTAAAATGAAAAAATATGTCAGCAGAGCTTATGTTAGATCCATGTGTGCTAAATGCTTCCATGACAGGATCAAAGTGTGCTTTCCTTATTGAGGAGCAGAAAATCATTGTGAAAATATTGAAGGCACAGGCAGAGTCAGAAAACTAAATTTTAAAAATGAAGCTTTTTTGAGTAATAAAAGCAATTAAAGTGGGGGGAAAGATTGCTTTGATTATTCTGGGTCTTTTGTGATTTCATATAAATATTAGGGTTGTGGAAAATACCACTGGAATTTTTATAGGCTTATACTGAATCTGTACATTGCTTTGGATACTATGGACATTTTAACAATATTAATTCTTTCTGTTCACAAGCACAAAATATCTTTCATTTCTTTGTGTCTTCAATTTTTTTTATCGTTGTCTTACAGTTTTCAGTGTTCAAAGTCTTTCACTTTCCTGGTTAAATTTATTCCTAGTTATTTTATTCTTATGTAATTGGGATTGTTTTTTTAATTTCCCTGTCTGATAGTTTATTATTTGTGTTTACAAATACAACTGAATTTTGCATATTGATTTTGTATCCTGCAACTTTACTGAATTTAATGATTAGTTCTAAAAGTGTTTTGGTGGAGTCTTTAGGGTTTTCTGTATGTAATATATCATTTGCACATAGAGACTGTTTTACTTCCTCTGTTTCTTTTGTTGTTGTTGTTTCTGTTTTTTTTTGTTTCATCCTCATCCGAGGATATTTTTTCCATTGATTTTTAGAGAGAGTGGAAGGGAAGGGGAGAGACAGAGAGAGAGAAACATCGTTGTGAGAGAGACACATCAATTGGTTGCCTTCCACACATGACTGACCAGGACTGAGGATGGAGACTGCAACCGATGTCCCTGCCCTTGACCAGAATTGATCCCAGGACACTTCAGTCCACGGGCTAATGCTCTAACAACTGAGTAACTAGCCAGAGCAACTTCCTCTTTTTCAATTCAAATACCTTTTATTTCTTTTTCTTGCCTAATTGCTTCAGCTGGGATTTTCAATAGTATGTTGAATAAAAGTGGTGAGAAGAGTCATCCTTTTCTTATTCCTTATATTAGAGAAAAACCTTTCAACTTTTCATTGTTGATTGTGATATTAGCTATGGGCTTATCACATGTTGCCTTTAATATGTTGAGGTACGTTTTCTCTATATCCAATTTGTTGAGTATTTTTATCATGGGTGGATGTTGATTTTTATCAAATGCTTTTTTTGCATCTATTGAGATGGTCACATGACTTTTTATCCTTCATTTTTGTTAATGTAGTGTATCACATTGATTAATTTGTAAATGTTAAACTATCCTTGTATCCCTGGAATAAATCCCACTTGGTCATTGTGTATGATTCTTTTAATTTATTAAATTTGGTTTACTAATATTTTTGTTGAGGATGTTTGCATCTGTTCTGTTATCATTCTTAATGTCTTCTTTTTTTTAAATAAATTTTATTATTGTTAATATACCTAGTGAGTTCCTCGATGTTACTTTATCTTTTCTCCCTAATGTGTATTAGTGTTATTTTACTATCAAATGCATCCTGTTGTGTTTTTCTAAAGCCTCACGCATTTTTATTTTTATTTATTTATTTTTAAATATGTTTTTGCCCAGCCACCATGGCTCAGTGGTTGAGCTTCACGATCTATGAATCAGGAGGTCATGGTTCAATTCTGGTCAGGCCATATACCCTGGTTGTGGGCTTGATCCCCAGTGTGGGACATGCAGGAGGCAGCCAATCAATGATTCTCTCTCATCATTGATGTTTCTATCTCTCTCTCCCTCTCCCTCCTGAAATCAATAAAAACATATTTTTTAAAATATTTTTTATTGATTTTTAGAGAGAGAGTAAGGGAGAGGGAGAGAGAGAAACATCGGTTGGCTGCCTCCTGTGCACCTTGTACTGGGGATCACGTCCACAACCTGGACATGTGCCCTGACCAGGAATTGAACCTGCGCCCTCTTGGTGCACAGGATGACGCTCCACCAACTGAGCCACACGGCCAAGACAGGTCATTTTGTGAATTTTTAGAAAATAAATATATAATGAGAATTATGTTTTAGGTTTGTGTTTTACATAGGACATTAATAATAAAGTTAAATTTACCTTTCTTTTACTTTAGAGAGGTAACTGAAATTCGTGAAGTCTCCAGAAAGTCAGTTCCTCGTAATTCCTTAGAAAGTGCTGAGTATATCAAAGTCATAACAGGTTTATTAAACGCAAAAGACTTTCGTGATCGTATTAATGGGATTAAGCAGCTTTTATCAGATACTGAAAACAATCAAGAGCTTGTTGTTGGAAACATTGTGAAGGTAAGGAAACATCAAAATTAATTTTCCTTTTCAATCTGTTGCTAATAAAGTTTATTAGTATAAAACGTTTCCCTAAATCTTAGTATTTTGTATATATTATTTTTAAATGTTAAAATAACCTTAGTGAAAAGGGTGTTTTACTTAGGTTTTGCTCTTTGAAGAGCATTCTAGAACAATTCAAAGTAATTTTTTTAAAAAGTAACAAAATAGCTGCTTATTTAAGTATGAATCTTCTCACTAGATGGTAACTCCTTGAAAGTTCTTGGAACCTGACAATCAGTAAATATATGTTGAATGAATCAATAAATATTTTTAAAGCCAGAGAATTTAAGGGATGTGATATCACTTTAGAATTGGATGTATTAACATTTTTCATATATAGGGTAGAGATTAAATATACCAGCTTAACTACCTACCTTTAGGAAAACAAAAAGCAATAGAAAGACAGAGTAATAAATGTTAGTGGTATTAAAGCATAAATTATTTATGCTTCATCTGAGTTTAGTTTACTTAATTTTATTAGTAATTTATTAATTAAATTTCATTTAAAATTTGTATTATGTGTATTAAACTTGGCAAATATATTATACTCTTTAGTTCCAATAATGTTGCCTCTTAATTTTCAGAAGAAAAGTACCACATCACTTTTCAGAAGAAAAGTATCATGCAAACCAGAAAGTTAGATTTTCTATTTCTGTTGAGTATAAATAAATGTCTTGGGCAGACTATTCTTAACATGAAGAGTTTTATATATATACTAGAGGCCCAGTGCACAAGAGGCCCAGTGCACAAAACCTGGGCCTGTGCCCTGACTGAGGGGGGGGGTTCCCTCAGCCCAGCCTGCACCCATTCCCAGTCCAGGACCCCTTGGGGGATGTCCACCTGTCGACTTAGGCCCACTCCCCAGGGGATCAGGCCTAAGCTTGCGGTCAGACATCCTTCTGGCAGCCAGGGAGCCCTCAGGGGATGTCGGACTAAAGGCTTAGGCCCCCAAGGGATCGGGTCTAAACCATTAGTTGGACATTCTTAGTGCTGCCATGTAGGTGGGAGAGGCTCCTGCCACCACCACTGTGCTGGCCAGCCATGAGCCAGGTTCTGGCTGAGTGGCACTCCCCATATGGAAGTGCACTGACCACCAGGGGGCAGCTCCTGCATTGAGCGTCTGCCCCCTGGTGGCCAGTGCGCATCATAGCAACCAGTCATTCTGCCGTTCAGTCAATGTACATATTAGCCTTTTATTATTATTATATAGGATATCCCTATTTCCTCCCTTTTGCCCCCTCTAAGATATTTTTTAATTTCACCCTTGTAAATTTTAGCACAATTTAATAAATTATGCTAGAAGCAATTAGGAGATTTTTCATGTAATGAACATACATTTCAATTAATATTTTATTAATTTTTAATTTTTTAATATTTTAATTTGAAATAATCTCATACATGTAAAAAAACTATAAAATACTACAGCATATTATATGTACCCTTCACCCAATTTCTTAGGTGTTAATAATTTTAAACATAACCATTATACAACTAACAAAATTTGGAATATATTTTTCTTATAATCTCTTTAATGTTACTTAATGCATTTACTTTGTTTTTGTTAATCTTCACCCAGGGATATTTTTCCATTGAATTTTAGAGAGAGTGAAGGGAAAGAGAGAGACACATTGATTGGTTGCCTCCTGCACATGCTCTGATAGGGACTGGGGATCAAGCCAGCAACTGAGGTACATGTCCTTGACTGGAATCGAACCTGGGACCCTTCAGTCCACGGGCTAATGCTCTATCCACTGAGCAAAACAGGCTGCAGCTTAATTCATTTACTTTTAATCTATGTGTCTTTAAAGTGGGTTTTGTTTTTGATTCACCCTCATAATCTGTCTTTTAATTGGTGCATTTATGCCACTGACTTTCAGAGTGCTTACTGATAGAGTTACTACCATATCAGGCGGCTTCTGGGGCTTCTGGGGCTGGCCTGCTACCCGTGATCGGATCCGATCACGGGCGGCAAGCTGGCGGCTTCTGGGGTCACACACGGGGGCCTGGATGGTGGCTCGCGCTGTCCCGCCCTGCCTGCAGTATGCAAATTAGCTGCCATCTTTGTTGGCGGTTAATTTGCATATCATGCTGATTAGCCCATGGGAGGTGTAGCGAAGGTACGGTCAATTACCATGTTTGTCTATTATTAGATAGGATAATATATATTGGGAATTATTAGTGAGAGTCTCAGCCTCACAGAATAACTCTTCACTCACCTAACATGACTTAAGAATTGCTTACCATTCACTGTATTATATCTTTATTTTATTAAATTTATAAAATTCTGAAAAGCAAGGAATAATTGTTAAAGTAATCAGGTTAAAAGATAATAAAATTTAACTGAAATTGCAACTAAAATTATCATAAGAAACCTAAACTGAAATTTTTTTTGTTTTTTTAAAGTATTACATATGTCTCCTTTTTCCCCCCACAACCCCTCTCCAGCCACTCCCACTCCCCAGGACAAGCCCCCACTGCCCAGTGTCTGTGTCCATTGGTTATGCTAATATGCATGCATACAAGTCCTTTGGTTAATATCTTATGCCCCACCCCCCTCACCTTTCCTCTGAGTTTGACAGTCTCTTGATCTACTTTTGTTTATCAGTTTATGTTTATCAGTTTATGTTATTCATTATATTCCACAAATGAGTGAGATCATGTGATATTTATCTTTCTCCAACTGACTTATTTCGCTCCATCCATGCTGTTGCAAATGGTAAATCCTTCTTTTTTTATAGCAGCACTAGAGGCCCGGTGCACGAAAATTTGTGCACTGGCGGGGGGGTGGTCCTTCAGCCGGCCTGCGCCCTCTCACAGTCCGGGACCCCTTGGGGGATGTCCAACTGATGGCTTAGGCCCGCTCCCTGGGGAATGCGCCTAAGCCATTAGTCGGACATCCTTAACACTGCTGTGGAGGCGGGAGAGGCTCCCGCCACCGCCACTGCGCTGGCCAGCCATGAGCCAGCTTCTGGCTGAGCAATGCTCCCCCTGTGGAAGCACACTGACCACCAGGGGGCAGCTCCTGTGTTAAGCGTCTGCCTCCTGGTGGTCAGTGTGCATCATAGTGACCAGTTGTTCCTCCATTAGGGTCAATTTGCATATTACCCTTTTATTATATAGGACTAGAGGCCCGGTACACAAAATTCATGCACGGGGGTGGGGGGGCGGTCCCTCAGCCCAGCCTGCACCCTCTCCAATCCAGGACTGCTGGCTGCTAACCACTCACCTGCTTGCCAGCCTGATCTCCCTAACTGCTCTCCCCTGCCGGCCTGATCGCCCTAACTGCTCTCCCCTGCCGGCCTGATCGCCTCTAACCGCCTCTGCCTCAGCCCCGCCACCATGGCTTTGTCCGGAAGATGTCCAGTCTAATTAGCATATTACCCTTGTATTAGTATAGATAGTATTCCATTGTGCAGATATACCACAGTTTTTTAATCCACTCACTGCTGATGGGCACTTAGGCTGTTTCCAAATCTTAGCTATTGTAAATTGTGCTGCTATGAACATAGGGGTGCATATGTCCTTTCTGTTTGGTGTTTCTGACTTCTTGGGATATATTCCTACAAGTGGGATTACTGGGTCAAATGGGAGTTTCATTAACTTTTTGAGGAAACTCCATACTGTTTTCCACAGAGGCTGCATTCCCACCAGCAGTGCACAAGGGTTCCTTTTTCTCCTCATCCTCACCAGCACTTACTTGTTGATTTGTTGATGATAGCCATTCTGACAGGTGTGAGATGGTACCTCATTGTTGTTTTGATTTGCATCTCTCGGATGATTAGTGACTTTGAGCATGTTTTCATATGTTTCTTGGCCTTCTGTATGTCCTCTTTTGAAAAGTGTCTATTTAATTCCTTTGTCCATTTTTTTGATTGGATTGTTTATCTTCCTTTTGTTAAGTTGTATGAGTTTTCTGTAAATTTGGGGGATTAAACCGTTATCGGAGATAACATTGGCAAATATGTTCTCCTATGCAGTAGGTTTTCTTGTTGTTTTGTTGATGGTTTCTTTTGTTACCTAAACTGAAATTTTTACAGTAAAACTTACATATCTACTTTTTGCTATGAGTAGATAAAGATAGAAACTTATCTTAATTCCTTAGAGTTAGCTAAGCTAACCTGCACCTTCCAGAAAACATCACTTTTATCACATTTATAGTAAATCAGTCATTGCCTACTAACCCAGATTTCTCAACCTTAATTTATTAAGATGTCTTTTGGAGTGATTTTTTAAGCCTTCTCTTTTTGCTATTAGAAAATTTGACACTTAGATTTATCATCCAAGTTTTTATAAAGCTTTTATTTTCTAAATTTAGGTTAAATGAAATGTGCATGTGTTTTTAAACAGTATGCTAAAGGAGAAATACTATGAAATGCCAAAAGAAATTTAAATATAATAGGTATAAACAGTATTTCATTTTAAATAATTTACCACTTTACTTTCAGATTTTTGATGCTTTTAAATCTCGACTTCATGATTCTAATAGTAAAGTAAATCTGGTGGCTCTGGAAACAATGCACAAAATGATTCCTTTGCTTAGAGACAACTTATCTCCTATCATCAACATGCTAATTCCAGCAATAGTAGATAACAATCTGAATTCCAAGAATCCAGGCATCTATACTGCTGCCACAAATGTTGTTCAGGCCCTGAGTCAGCATGTAGGTAAGAAATCTTACTTTGGCACTCCAGTTACTGGGACTTTACTTTTGTACTTTTTTATTTTGCATATTTTTTATAATGCTAAAATTCTAACTATCCAATTTTAATCATTTAATGTTATAAAATTTCTTTTAGTATATTTTAAATTACTATTAGTAATTAAATGTTATCATATGAAATTGACTTTCTCTTCCCTTATCTTTGACTTTTCGATTTTTTTTCCTACCTCAACTTCACATCTTTTTAAAAATTAATTCAAAATGGATCATAGATTTAAAGGAAAAACATAACTATAAAACTTTTAGAAGACAACATAGGAAAGGACCTTAGGGCTTGGTGAAGAATTGCTAGCATGACACTAAATGCATGATCCATAAAAGTTGATATATTGGACATCATTAAAATTAAAAACATTTGCTCTGTAAAAGTCCCTTTAACTAATATAGAGATAAACTACAGATTGGGACAAAATACTTGCAAATCACATATATGACAAAGAACTTATTTCTAGAATATATATAGAACTCTCAAAACTCAACATTAAAATTAAAAATAGCATTTCAACTAGAAAATGAGCAAAAGACATGAAAATACTTTTTACCAAAGAGGATATATGGATGGTAAATAAACACATGAAAAGATGTTCACTTCACCAGTTACTAGGGAAATACAAATGCTAATTAAGACCATGATCACTTGGCCTTTCTTTTGGTCTTTGGTCTTTGTCTAGGTCTTTCTTTTGATTAGTAAAAACAGATATAATGTTCGTCTTTTCTAAAAGCAGGGTGATGAAAAATGAACTTTAAAAAAGCAGAGAACACCTGTAATTATGTAAGCTATAACCTTTGGGTGAAAGGTACATAAGACCTCTCTGTACTGTCTTTACAACTTCCTATCAATCTATAATTATTTCTAAATAAAAACAGTGAAAAATCACTAAAGGTAAACTCCCCCAAAACAATTATTTTCTGGTTTTTTTATAAACATACATAGTATCATTTAGAATAAGATACCTAGGATGTAGACAATTCTTTATACATATATACCATAGGATAGCTCCTTTAATGTTTTGTGATGTATTTTTATGTTTCATTTACTCTAAGAATGTTACTCTGTTAAGGTTTTATAGAGAATTTTAAATAGTGGTCATGTAGGAAGATTAAAAAATCTTTTTAATGCATTTGCAATCATTTGCATCTTTTTTGTTTTCAATGCTGTGTAATTGAAAATAACTAAGCTCTCATAACTCTTTAAACATGTCTCTGTTCTTTTTGTTCAGACAATTACTTACTTCTACAGCCATTTTGCACAAAAGCTCAGTTTTTAAATGGAAAAGCAAAACAGGATATGACTGAAAAGCTTGCTGGTAAATATTTTTTGTTAATTTTATTTTATTACTTTAGAGAGACATCATTTGTTGTTCCACTCATTTATTTATTCATTGGTTGAATCTTGTATGTACCCTGACAGGGAATCAAACATGCAACCTTGGCGTGGGAACGACACTCTAACCAACTGAGCTATCTGGTCAGGGATAAAGAAATATTTTATTAATTAAGGATAAACTGATGGGTATTTCATTTTAATTTAAGGAAAGCTGCCAAATTCAATATCATTACCCAGGAAGTAGAAATAAATTGTATCATGATTCACAAGAGGACGACCTTTAAGACTTTTACCCAAAAATTTTTCTTAAAAGAATTTTATTATTTTTCCCCAGTAAGTGTTTAGTCTTCCTGTTAGTAGAAATAAACAGAATGAATAAAAATAATTAAAATCAAATATTGGTATTCATAAAAACTGCTATTTCAAATTATGTGTTTGATAAAAGGTCCATGAGTGGAAAGTGTAGAAATCTTTAATTAACTGCATTTAGAAAACATGGAGATGAATTTTGGATTTCATTCCCATCTTTACTACTTTTGCCTGAACTAATCATCATATATGGAATTCTAGTACTTGAAGATTCCACTCTTTAGGAAGGAAGTTTCTGACCTACTTCTTTTAAGGTACCTAACATTTTAGAAAAATGGCAATAGGAAGAAGTTATGTATATATGCTTTTTAATTAGCAGAACTTGAATTTATTTTTTAAACCTTACGATTTATCATATTTTTATATTTCAGATATTGTTATGGAACTCTATCAAAGGAAGCCCTTTGCCACAGAACAGAAAGTGTTGGTTGTTTTATGGCACCTCTTAGGGAACATGACAAATAGTGGCTCTCTGCCTGGAGCTGGAGGAAATATACGAGTAGCCACAGCTAAATTATCAAAAGCACTTTTTGCACAGATGGGCCAGAATCTGTTAAATCAGGCTGCATCTCAACCACCACATATTAGAAAGAGTTTAGAGGAATTACTCAATATGACACTTTGAAATGAATTAGAAATCTTTCATGAAATATGGTATGATGAACAAAAGTGTTTACATGATGACAAATGGAGCTTTTTTAAAGTTACATTTTCAGTGCCTGCACTTCTAATCCAGTAAATTAAGTCAATGGCTATTTTTCTTTGCAGCCTATGAGTACACATCTGACCTATATCAACCCTATCACATGTCCCATTACACAAAAACCTAAAATAATTAATATAACTTAATATTCATTAAATACGAGGAACATGAAGTGAATCCAATTTTAATATTTTTGAGAAAAGTCCTGCTCGTTTGCACTATTCTATAGAAATCGCAATTTGTTGCCCTATATGTACAATTAGATTTGTAATTAAAAATATACTTTTTATTATGTAATCATGTTCTGCTATGTCTCGTTACTCAGCCTTATTTTATGAAGTGGAAGAAAAGTCATTGAACTATGTTATCACAAAGTTTTGTGTACTATTTGTGAAAAATATGTATTCTCAAATCAGTCTGCTAATATGATTGTGCAGTATTAGCTTGTTTTTGCTGTTTTGTGTTAATGTGATATATTTACTTACCACTTGGGTTTAATCATCTACATAATTGTGAAATTTAACAAATTATAATAAAGCATGATGACCAAAGTTTTAGAACACATTTAAACATTTTAAATGCACGTTTAAGAAAACGTGTTGAATGTAACTTCCCTATTTTTTGTGCAAACACTAAATTATATTTCTATATGTCCTAACATTTATAAAGGTGTTAATTTGCTGTCCAGTTGTATAATTCTCAAAAATAGTGCCAGATTGTCTGTAGCTTTTCTCAGAATTCTTGGACCACAAGTACTGTATGTATCTTAAAAAAGAAAAGGATTGTTATAAAATAAAAGGATTTATTTCTGTAGGTGTGTGAAAGGTGTCCTATTTTTCCAACTCCCGTATATGTTAAAATGGCAATATATATATATTCACAATTATATATATATTATAATGTTGACCTATTTCTACTGCCTGAATTATAGTAGCTTTACAGGAAAGTAGCTGTGTGACCTTGAGTTAGTCACTTGCCAAATCTAGACCTCAGATTTCTCATTTCTAAAATGTGAGGGTGGTCTAGATGATCTTTAAGGTTCTATCTTGTTCTACAATTCTATAATTCTGGGTTCTTCCATTCTCTTTTACTTCTTATGTCACTGACCAGTTTTTAAACGTATTTGGCTGCTTTTTAAATTGTGATTTTTTTTTTTGGCCCTGATCGGTGTTCTCAGTGGTTAGAGCATTGGCCCTTGGACCAAAGGGTCACAGATCTGATTGCTCATCAAGAGCATATACCTGGGTTGCAGGTTTGATCCTGGCCCTGGTTGGGGTGCATGCAGGAGGCAACCAATCGATGTGTGACTCTCTTGCATCAATGTTTCTCTCTCCCTCTGTCTCTCCCTCCCTCCCTCCCTTCCACTCTCTCTAAAAACCAATGGAAAAAAAATCCTTGGGTAAAGATTATTAAAAAATGGGTTTGCTTTTTTTTTTTTTATTAATCCGTGACTTAAAAATTTAAAAAAAATGTTTTTAATGTCATTTGAAGCTAAGCTGAAAGGAGAGTAAAAACTTACTTTATTTATATGCACTGTTTTATAGTTACAAACATACTTTTAAAATACTTTATCTTTTCTTTAAGTGTATTTTATGTTCTTATAATTCAGGTTTGAAGTTGGCAAACTTTTTCTGTAAGGGACCAGAAAGTAAATAATTTTGGCTTTGTAAGTCACAGACAAATTGTAGCATATTCTTTGTTTTGGTTTTTTTACAACCCTTTAAAAAGTACAAAACACATTCCTAACTCAGAACAAACAAAAATAGGCCTCTGGCATAGCTTGCAACACCTGGTTTAGACCCTTTAACCTACGTTATAAAACTGAATGCATCATTAAATTTGCTTCAACCCTTTATGATATGTGTCATTGACACTATAATTACAGATTCTAGACTTTATTAATTTTGACTACTGACCTTGTGTCATTACAAATGTGTCTACTAAGTTTACATCGATTGATTGTTGATAAGGTAAAGTTTAAGTTTTAAAGGCAAAAGACCATTTCTCTATAAGCAGACCCATTGTTTTATTTTTTAAAATACATGGAAACACTTTATTATTTTTTGTTGTTGTTAATCCTCACCTGAGGATATTTTTCCATTGATTTTTAGAGAGAGTGTTAGGGAGAGGGAGAGACAGAGAGAAAGAAACATCGATTGTTGCCTCCTGCACGCACGGGGATCGAGCCTGCAACCAAGGTATATGCCCTTGACTGGAATCAAACCCGGGACTCTTCAACCCACAGGCTGACACTCTATCCACTGAGCCAAACTGGCTAGGGCTGACCTATTATTTTAAAAAGATACAGTTTGAACTTAGTATTGAAGAAAGTACAGTAAATATAATCACTACTAGTAAATGGAGACTTTACTTCACATAATCTTTGTGTTTTCTCTCTTTTTTTAATTTACTGTTTTTTTAGAGAAAGGATTGGAAAGAGACAGAGAGGCATCAATTTATTGCTCCACATTTTTATGCATTCATTGGTTGATTCTTGTATGTGCCCTGAACAGAGAGTGAACCCGTGACCTTGGTGTATCGGAATGATGCTCTAACCAACTGAGTGCCAGTGTTTTCTCTTATTATAAAGAAAACTAGAGGCCCAGTGCATGAAAATTCATGCATTTGGGGAGGTCCCTCGGCCAGGCCTGCGCCCTCTCGCAGTCCAGGATCCCTCGGGGGATGTCCACCTGCCAGCTTAGACCCACTGGGAGCGGGCCTAAGCTGGAAGTCAGACATCCCTCTGGCAGCCTGGGAGCCTTCGGGGGATGTCCACCTGCCGGGGGCGAGTAGGCCTAAGCTGTTAGTCGGACATCCTTAGCACTGCTGAGGAGGCAGGAGAGGCTCCCACCACCACCGCTGCACTCGCAGCCCTCAGCCCGGCTTGTGGCTGAGCAGAGCTCCCCCTGTGGAAGCACACTGACCACCAGGGGGCATCTCCTGCATTGAGCGTCTGCCCCCTGGTAATTAGTGCGTGTCATAGCGACCGGTTGTTCCCAGTCATTCCTCCATTAGGGTCAATTTGCATATTACCCTTTTATTATATAGGATAGTAATAATGTAATAGAGTCCCAGGCCTAAAAGAGTTCCCTATTTTAAGTAACTTCTTGATATTGAGTACTTAGAAGTCTTGCACTCTATGAACAAGAATTACTATCAATTTGGAAATTAAAGAAATGAAGTCCAGCTAGTGTGGCTCAGTGGTTGAGCATCGACCTATGAACCAAGAAGTCCACAGTTCAATTCCCAGTCAGGGCACATGCCCAGGTTGTAGACTCAGTCTCCAGTGGGGCATGTAGGAGGCAGCCAATCAATGGTTCTCTCTCATCATTGATGTTTGTTTTTTTTTATATATTTTATTGATTTTTTTTTTTTTTACAGAGAGGAAGGGAGAGGGACAGAGAGCCAGAAACATCGATGAGAGAGAAACATCAGCTGCCTCCCGCACACCCCCCACTGGTGATGTGCCAGCAACCAAGGTACATGCCCCCGACTGGAATCGAACCTGGGACCCCTCAGTCCGCAGGCCGATGCTCTATCCACTGAGCCAAACCGGTTAGGGCTCATCATTGATGTTTCTATGTCTCTCTTCCTTTCCCTTCCTCTGTGAAATCAATAAAAATATTTTTTTTTTTAAATTGAAGTCTGATCACTGAAAGAACTAAAGAAAAGCTGAAGGCCTGAATAAATTGGAATAAAAGGATGGGATTTTTTGTTTGTGGTTTTATAAAATTATTTTTTATTAATTTTTAGAGAGAAAGGAAGGGAGATGGGGGAGAGAAAGAGAAAAGTCCATGTCAGAGCAAAAAGCAGTGTCTTCTGCACTCCCCACAGGGATGGAGCTGGCAACCAGGGAATGTGCCCTGACCAGGAATTGAACCAGCAACCTCCTGGTGCACAGAGCAACACGCAACCACACCAGCCAGGGCTAAATGATTTTTTTTTACAAGCAGTGATAATTATAAAAATCTAATCCCACTAACACTGCAACTAAAAATAAGAGGGGGGAAAAAGCATTTCAATGGAATATTTTACTCATTTGAAGTCATGTCATTTAGTCATGAGTATGTGAAATACTCTCATCACAGGACAATGTTCATAATGTGTTAAAGCGGGGGCGGGGGGGTGGGGGAAGCCTAACTAAAAAATAAGTACAGTGTCTCCATCAAATATATATGCACCCAGAAAATAAAACTAGAGTTATACGTATACACCAACATATTAATGGTGGTAAACCATTGGTGAAGAAGTTTTTTTCAGTGTACTATTCTGAAATTTCTAATTTTTCAGAAATAAGCAACATGTATTGCTTATGTAAAAATTTAAATTACAGTAAATGAAGGTAAGCTGAAAATAAAGAATATGAAGAGAAAAAATATAGGCCAAAAGAGAGACAGTAGTGAATATATAAAGTGCTAAAGGAGGTAGACAGTGATATGACCAGAAGGGAGATGAGTGAGGGAAGCAAGTAATTATAAAGGTAAAGAGCATAAGACTTTGATTCAGAAAGCATGGATTTAGAAACCAATTTTATTATTATCTGTCAAATCTTATATATATCCTGGAGTTATTATGGCATTCCAAATTAAAATGGGATTATGTATAAGAAAATATTTGTAAACCTCAAATTCCTACAAAAGTCATTTATTCCCAGCAGCAAATGAAGATGAAAGATGAGCAGAAACCCTATAGAAATCTTTAGTGCTAGGATAAGCTAAGCCTACTTATTTCATTGCTAGTTATATGGTTGAATATGTCAAGTGAAGGCAAAATCAATTAAGCACTGTAGTATTATTAATCATTTATAGTCTCATAATGAGTACTGTAAAAAACTCAAACTTCTCTGGGCAGAACAATGGGCCAAGCCAAGACTTAAAAGGGCATTGGAAGTAAATTACAGATTTAGCAAAGTAGTGGTTAAAAAAATACTAGAGTGTGGAAGGTATAAGACATCATTATGTAAAATTGAAGGCAGAATGATCTGTTGGTACCCAACTATGACCAATTTTGAATGGACCAGTTTTTTTTCTTCTTTACGACTATGCCTGGAATATGGTCTATATTGGGAGCTAAATAAATAATACTTGAATAAAATGGTGAATGATGTATAATTTTGAAATTTATTCTGGAGATAGAAAAATGTTTTCAAGATTGGAAGTAGTGTATTTAAAATAACCAGTAGCAGAGGGATAGTTGGATGGACGGAAGGAGGAAAAGATGTAGGCAGGGAAATCAATTTGGAAACATGGATCTAAAGCCTACCTGTACAAATGGATTTCATCAAAGATTCTAGCCTAAAGCGTTGATAGCGTCTGTCTGTGCAATGTGTTGAAAAAGACTGTGAGGTTACATCAAATTCCAATAGGAGTATAGTGATTTACTAGCTAGGCTCTGAGCTAAACTCTATATAGTACGGTCTAAACTATAGAAGCAGTGGGAATTAAAACAATGTACCTGGAAGGTATTCTGGTGGTAGGACTGAACTGAATTGATGACACACTTAGATCAGGAGAATAAAGGAGTCAACATTTAAATTTGTAATAATAGTGAATTTCTCTATTGAGGTTTTATTCTTTATTTAGGAAAGAAGGCCCTTCCTGTGTACTTCTGCCTACATCTCCTGGGACATGCTTAGATTCAAGGGAGGCTGGGAAATTGAGTATTTAATTCCTAGTCTTAATAGTATAGGAAGATAATAGGAAGGTAGTAGGAATGGATGTGAGTGATCCAACCTACAATCTGCCATATTCTAAAACTCCGCTCTGTCTGATGGCATTCTATGCCTTGAAGACTTGATATTAGTT